GTAACTTTTGTGTTTTCCAGACTTGTATTTGTACTTGCATTTTCTTGCCCAAATAACCAAATCTTTTGAGGACACCGAAAGCCCGTTCGATGCAGTTTTCTGGTGGTAGTGTTGGAACTGTTGTAGCGTTGCTCTTGACGGAATTGAGGATTGGCTAGTGGTGTTAGTAGGTGACCTCGATGGATTCCATTCTCCATTTCTACACACAGACGGTTCTTATCGAAAATATTGCTGTGGTGACCGCTCCCTGGCCATCTAGCAACACTATTAACAACTGTAGTTGTGGCCCATAAACTGCCTGTATATTTAAGGAAAATACTTCTTTCCTGTTTCAGAATATTTCAGATCGGTCCCCAGGTGGCTTTATGACAGCAGCAGGCATTCCAGCAATTGCCATGAAATCCTTCATCTCTCTGAGTGTTTCATTTGTTCCAGGCATCTTGATGATGTTATGGTTCATCCTGGCAATGACTCGTGTCATACGACTGCTACCTCTGCTTACATAGCACTGTGAAACGTTGTAACAGTCTGGCATTGTCAGCTGGTGATTACCAATGGCCATATACATCAAGGTGATGAGCACTTGCAGGTAAGGGGTACAGAAATACCTGTTGGATGGTAAATTTTCGCTATAACAGGATTCACGAAACTGAAGTGTATTGATAACTATCTATTAGGCACCTAATTAGGAAACTTTTCTTCTAGATAGACAGTCGCCGCAAACGTACTCTAAAATAGGGAACCGATTACGTAGAGTTCGGCTAAATCAGGTGAGGTTGGGATAAAATAGGTTTTATTTGGCAATACTAGTGTATAGTAGTGGTCTATAAGTTATTACTCAAATTGAAATATGACAAAATATAGGCATATCATAAAGACCTGTTATTGCGAGTTTGAGGTAAGTGAGGTAGAATCTTCTGCATATGATCATGTGCAACCTCTTTCGTCATCCTGAATCGCGGCAGAAATTCGCTCTCTGTCGTCGCCTCGAACGGATCCGTGCGGTCTTGCAGATGACGAAGAATGATTCCAAAGATTGAATTAAGTCCCTATAGTAAACATGCTACACTAGTCATCTTGTCAGAGGTTATAACATTTATTCAGTTTCATGGTGCATGAGGACTTTCGCCCGAAAAGTAGAATATTTAATTGTAAAACAATAGAAATTTAATGCAGTAAACAATATACTTTAAATGCACAAAGCTTTATGAAACTTATCGTTCATTGATTCGGGATTATCGCAAAATAATGTAAAGCTACTTATGTAATGATATTTTTTCAATTTCATGTTCGTTTTAAGTATGCTTAATCTGAATTCCGTGACCTTTTGATAAGGGACTACTGCATTACTACCTGAAAAATTCTCTTACCTTAACAATTGAAGTACAGCTATATAACATACAGGGGACAATCGCCAGCATTTGATGTCGATTTGACTCAGAGGGAAGCAATGTTGATAAAAAAAAAACTGCATGTATACATTTACAAGAGAAAAAAACAAGCAAATCTTAATTTTTAATTAAGATTACATTTAGAATTATTTAATATCTAGGAAAATATACTTTTTTGGTACATAATTTACATAATTTGCATTTGGAAATAACTGTGCAACGTGCGTTCAAGTGATTCACATTTTGTTCCAATAATGTGCGCATTTGGTGATCGCACAAGAGCGGACAGCACAATTGTGAATTCCAGAATTTTGACGGCACAAAATATGACCAAGAATTCAGACATTCCACAATTGTGCAATCTATAGTATGACTAAGCATAAGGTTTAGCGTGGAGTGCGGCGAAGGGGGTGTCCACATTTGCTTTAAAAATACGACGGTTAGAGTCGGCGAGTGCGCAGCGTACACTACAATTATTATTATTATTATTATGATTATTATTTCAAATTATATCAGTACCATCATTATTATTTCTGTTAATATCATTATTATTATTATTATCATTATTACCATTATCATTATTATTATTATTATTATTATTATTATTATCATTATTATTATGGCATTATTATCATTATCATTATTATTTTTGTTATTATTATTTTTGTTGTTATTATAAGCGTTATCATTCTTTATATCATCATAGTTGTTATAATAATGATAATAATGTCAATTATAATTATTATCATTTGTATTGTTATTATTATTATCAATGTTATCATTATTAATGGTAGCAGTAGTGTTATTTTTTATCATTATTATGATTATTATTATTATCGTTATCATTATTATTATCATTATTTCATTTATCTATCTATTCATCTATTTTTGATACTACAGAACCAAAGTCCTACAAAACCATCGCTTGCTTGCATGCTCAAGAGAGCAAACGAGCAACAGCCGGCCGCAGTCGCTCAGCGGCGCCGTGACGTCATCATCACTACTGCTCTGGGACGTCCGGATTGTTGGCCACGACGTTCAGGCACATCCGGAAGGGCGGGCGCCAGCAGGGCCAGCGACTCGACGCCGTGCCCTTGTGGGAGGACTCGGGCGCGACGTGGGGGAGGACTTGGGGTCTTTGGGAGGCCGGGATACTCGCTGAGGCTCTATTGCGCCCATGCCTTTTCTTCCCCTTAGCAAAGACCCTCATAATTCCCTTTGCTCTGGGAACCACTCGGACCATGTCCAGAGAGGGCACTATCTCTTATCACAAAGTGTGGTTTCTTCAAAAAATGTTATACCTTTAGAAGCCACACTATAAAAGAATATTAGTTATATAGGTTACTTATGATCTAACTTTAGCCTTAGAGGTAACTGTGAAAAGGGTAATGTCAATAACATTTAATGAGCTTACAATATTTACTGATATGTTGAGTCATAAATCATTATACTTCTACATATAAAAAAACAACATTCATCTACAAAATGTT